ACGTGCAGTTGATAAGTTAAAATCTAGCCCAGAAGGTAGAATTTGTCTTATACAAAATTATTACTCACTCTCTTCCATTTAAAGCTCAACCAAGCGCATCTTCAGGTTCAGGCTCATCCTTGGGTTCTGGCTCTCACCCTGGCAGCATTCCAAGTACTAAATTTGATCAAAATATGAACAAAATATGATTGTTGGCATAACTATGAATGGAGGGTTTGGTCTTGTCTAAAGTTTTTGATACTCTTGCTTCACTTTATCTTTTTTGTTTCACTTATCAAACACTTGTTTTTCACTTATTTAGCATTTTTGTTGCCATTTAATCATTCACAATAGCAGTATCGTATATTATTTCTGTATAATAATTATTGCGTGATTATAGTTTGGATATACCCACTCTAATATATTCTCACTATTGGTTGAGATATTTTTCAATCATTAATCATATTAAATTAAGTTTGTGGCAAACGAATTGCAAAACTTTCAAAAATATGTCCACCCCAAAACTGTTACTGTTACACCAGTATAACACACAACAGCAGTTGGTGATGAAGAAACTTCAGAAAGCTGAGTTGAAAGCTGAATCTGTCTAATAACACATAGACATTGACGTACAAGATCAATTCTTTCTCTTTGCTCAGTAGACAACTCATCAAGTAATTCTATCGCAACTAGCTCCCTGTAAGCTAGCTCTATATTGGTTAAGAAGGATTCTAAATCATATGAGGTTAAGAAACGACGATCTTGCAGCTGTGACAGGTCATAAATCACTCTTTCTAACAATGATACACATTGCCTAACTTCGGCCATTTTTAAGACTGATCAGACCACACCTTAACCACGCCTTTATCTAGTTAGATTATACTACATTAATCATGCTATTAACTATACTATTGACAAAAAGTGGTTGCCTAAGTGGTCATACTTTAGACAAAAAGGGACCATGCTATTAATGAAAAGGGACCATGCTATTAATGAAAAGGGACCATGCTATTAATGAAAAGGGACCATGCTATTAATGAAAAGGGACCATGCTATTAATGAAAAGTGACCATGCTATCAATGAAAAGTGACCATGCTATCAATGAAAAGTGACCATGCTATCAATGAAAAGTGACCATGCTATCAATGAAAAGTGACCATGCTATCAATGAAATGTGACCATGCTATCAATGAAAAGTGACCATGCTATCAATGAAATGTGACCATGCTATTGACGTAAATGACCATGCTATTAATACTGCAAGTATGCTAATTTTGACACTAATTACCTCCCATAAGGAGATGGTTGATTCAGGGGAAGTGACCATATCATCTATTGAATTGGAGGGTATTCAAAGCAAGGAGATGGAAAGACGAGCATTGATCAACATAAGTGATACTTCTCCACAGCAAGTATGCTAAAACACAAGCATAGAGCTACATTAGCTGTTCTA